GTACATTCTCTGACTTCACTTGGAAAGTCCAAGAGAAAGCCACTAACAATTGACTACAAAAGGAAAGAAAACACATATCTCAGTATAAAAACAATTAGACAATGAGGAAGGCTGGCTGAAAATATAAAAAAATACAAATTAAACTAAAAATACAACAAAAAATTATTTATTTAATTATCTATTTATTTATCTATTTGTTTATTTGTTTTGTTTACTATAGAATATCTTAGTTTTAAGTATTTTCCGCGCGCATAATTGTAACGTTCGTTAGCTCGCGCGCATGTGATTGTTGTTGTCTCACAATTTTGAATGTAATTTCAATCAGTTTTTCCCTGACGATGGGTTTGTAACCCGAAAGCTCGGAGCAGGAATATGAAACTAAAAAAACGTGGATGAAACAAAAAATTAATAAAGTCATGACTCCCACGAACAAAGAAACTCTTATAAAAAAGCCTCAAACTATTTTGCCTTGGTGCTTGCATCGTAAATCAATCTTTTTAATGACGATACCTTGAAGATATGTTTGAGGATGTGCTCAGCAGCAGATGGTATACAGAACATACTGAAATGACGCAAGAATCGAGGAGTGACAGGGTTGCGACCCCCACCTGGTGGGGCACAGGCAGCACAGATGGTCATGTCCTGGAAAGCCAAAAAAACCCACGTGTTAGATGGATGCGGAAAAAYACGGCAACTGGGATAAGAAGGAAATCGGATTTAATGTGCTGGAAATGGAATTTTGATCTATGGGAATGGAAAATACGGTTAAAAGTAGAGGAAGGTATAAATTTGAAGGGACTGGATTTGTCCGAAATTTAGGCCGAAAATATGAATGGGAATCGCTTTCAAGCAACTTCCCAAGAAATTGAAAGAAATCAGCTAAGGCTGAATAAAGAGACACAACAAAAGCATTGAATTAAATACCTGAATTTCTTTCCAAAACAGTTTCTCACGGTCATAAAATCCACGAAAATCCTAAGAAAAAAACAACAAAAAATCAACAACAACAGAAAATTTAACGACATGCTTTCTGCAACATACATGCAGGAAGTATTTTGAGTTGAATGTTAACTGTTCTCAACCATACAGTAAAGAACAGGAAGCATATATACCACATACCTGGTACTGTCTGAGCAGTTCAATAGGTGGCTGAGATCCATACGTGTCTAGCTTGGGCATGTTAAGATCATCTACGAATATGACTACTCTCTTTCCAATAGGAGCACCTGAAGAATGAAGGTGTTAGTATAATGTATTGAGAAGACAGAGAGAACTCGGAAAATTGTTGATAAATGAAAAATTGGAGGATTTTATCATCATCCTCCTCGTTATTAGACATTATCACCACAATCATCAATATTAACAAATGCATCACCGTCACCATCATACATCATCACCGCAACTACCAGGGCCATTATATCCATCATCATTTCCAAAAACATAATCATCATCATCAGACATATACCGTTACCACCACGGCCTTCATATCAATCATTATCGCCGCCACCATCATCAGCATCCTCACGACCATCTTTACGACTTATCATTATCATTATCATAAGCATCAGTTTATTTACCAAGGATATTCTTTCGTTTCTTTTCTAGCTTTGACTCAATCATTTCTTGTGTTCTCTGACTGCTGGTCTGAGCGGAGAAGTTCAACATGACTGCTACAATATTGGATTTTTCTGAGACATCATCCAGCAGTCCCTTGGCAATGACAGACTATAAAAATGAAAGAAAAACATAAAAAAAAACCAGACCTTGGTTTCTTTTGGTATTTCAATCAGCATGGCGTCACGTCTTTTACTCTTGGATTGGGAATCGAGTTGGCATAACACTAGTCTACTTGCCTCTCCATTCTGGGGTGTCGGATTTGATTCTTGGCCTCGGCGTAAGTAGACCGAGTTTGTTAGGTTGAATTAGCCGTACCCTGAATTACATCGGCGCAGCCCTCCTATAACATGTGAAGTTTTTCATATCAACATACCTTGCCAACTCCTGTGGTACCAGTGTACAAGACAGACTTGTTGACTGATAGTAGTTTCTCCATCAGGAATCCAAAGCGCACAGTATCCACAGTGGGCACCAGCAAATCAAAGTAGGGAATGTCGTTACTGTACTTGAAGGATGGGATAATTTTCTCCCAGGGTTCCAAGCGTCGTGTGTCAAAGTCCACATAGTAACTGTAAAGGTCGCCAGAGCCTGGGATCTAATTAGAAACGGTGGACAGAATAACTAAGAT